GAGCCAACGTTTGTCACTCAAGGAGCTAGAGGTGATACTGTATCATCACATGTTTGGGTCTGAGAACGACTGATTGTACTTGAGGTGCATATCTTTTCAAAAAAGTCAATCAGAAATTCTGTTGCCTGCTCTATGGGACCAATAAAATGCTCAAGCGTTGTGATTAAGAACTTGTCTTGTGTAATTTATGTATTAAAGACATAAATTAGTGAAAGTTGCTTGTGTCTTAAATCTAGATGAGCAAAATCATGTGATTTAGAAAGAAAAGATACTTCTTAGTATGAGATTTAGATACATCGCCAAAAACCATGTATGCTATCCTTCTCCTCACTCCGTGCCGCATGCCCTCTCACTCCATTCCACTGGTAACACCCACCATGTACGCTTGGCCAGTTGTACATCCGTGCACATTTTTATTTCTTGCACTCAGTGTAGAAATAATCTTTAAAATTCAATTTCTTACTTCTTACTAAGCACACAATTTGAACAGAATTATACAGAATTTTAATTTGATTGAAACTATATATCTAGAACTAAATCCTCAAAGGATGTTTGCTGAAAGTTGTTTCTTACTGCCTCCGCGAACTTCCTGAGCCATGATCCTCTTGAGCTCTTCTGTCCTAAGAACGAAAAAAAACAAAAAAAAAAAACAAAAACTAAAACACGTACCCCTGGAGAATGTGCGGCGTACGTGCAATGATCCAAGCTGGGATCCTTTCTCGCGAGTGAAAACCTTGATAGAAGGCACTGCTATAAGACATACGCGAGCTGAGAAAGAAGAGAAAGGATGAACTGAAAAAAAAAGAGTAAACCTTTTCCCGTGTATCACCACGCACTAGCAGGATGGCTGCCTCAATCCGGTGGCCAGAGCAGCACAGCAAGCGTGTCTTCACTCGATACCTGTGCGTATTGAATCCCGTAGAGAGACAGAGAGAGTAATTACCTTTTTCGTCGATGAAGCCGTCGTTGGAGCTGACTTCCAGCAGACACCACTTTCTGGAAGCCAGTGCGACAATCGAGGAGCCTATACACCTGCATTCTTTGAAGTAAATGTTTTTCGAAAGTTTAGTTGATGGTCTCGCACTAACGGCTTGACGCAACTCCGTTTGATGGGATCGCGCAGAACGTTTTCAGCTTGTTCATCCAGGAGAGCGACTAACGCATGAACAGCAGCCTGCAGGAGAGCGTTTTTGCAACAGAAGAAGAAAATTTAAATACCAGTTCTGATTCATAAGCCGAATGGACGACATAATGCGGTGGCCTCACACAGCGAAGCAGAAGGACTTAAAAAGGACAAATATAAAGAGAGACAGAAGAGCAGTCAAATCCAAATAACAGAATAGAAACGACTTACGCTGACCAAGCGCATCTAGTGCAGCGTCCTTTGCATCCATGTCCCATCTTTCCGAGCTTCTCGCGAGATTTTTCAATCATTCCGAGAGGCGTACAAGGCTCTATCAGTCTAGACACAACTTGCATCGAGCGGGAACGCACCTTACTATCCACTTCAGCATTCCTGAGTGAGCTTAAACTGCATTAGAGACAATTAGAAGAGGACAAGCTCACTGGATCCAAAAACATGAGTGAGAAACGAATGTACCAGCAAGTAGAAGCCTTCAGCCAGTAGGTGTCTCAGCAAACTACAACCAGAAACCGTTAGGAAACAGCAAGTGTTTGACAATAGAAAAGAAGATATACCTCTCTCAGAATTTCGAGTTGAGCCAATGTATCACTAGTTGACCTGCAAAAACGGTGCCGCTGCCGACAGTCCGAAGATTCGAGCTGCCAGAGATAACGCTCGGATTTGAGCCTGCAGGAAAACGAACGGATCAGGAGAAACCAAAGATGATCTATGTCTAGAGAGCTAACGAGAACTACGTACAGGTCCAGCGCTTGACTTTGCTAACTTCTCAATGGCGTCTTTTGCCACGCTCGACTCCCTGCAACAAATCCAGCAAACGTGAGCGTCATTCACACACATAGTATGCTTGTTTACTTGTCACATATCTGTTGCTGTTTGCACAGAACTTGAATCGCCATCCTCTAGACACTTAGGCAGGTATCCAAGAAGGAAAAACTTAGGTAGCATTACGAAACGTGAAAACATAAGTTGCTACTCACGAACATGGAGCATGCGAGACGACGAACTTGTGGAGATGCCGCGTTTAAACCAGCATTTGCATAAGGCTAACACACAAAAAACAAACAGAGAAAATTAAAATCGTAGCATGAAGGCGAGGAAGGAGCTTACGAGGATTTTGATAAGCATGCTGTGTCCAAACGACCTTCTCGACAGCATTGCTCTCACAAGCGCTGGAGTTCCTGCGGTGAATAGAACCCTGTCCAAGAAGACGAATTCAATCGCATTCGATCCCACAAAGAAAGATCCAGAAATCTTACCTGGAGAGAACCGGAAACGGATATTTCGAGAGGAAATCCGACACAGAGCTCTCGGGAAGGGCGCGCGGCAAATGCACGGGATCGATCGCGACAAGAATGCGACACCTGGAAGCGCGAAGAGATCAGAGGCCTCCGCCAAGAGGAGATTCGCGTCGACGCCGTCGATCGCCATCATCCCCGCCATCATCCCTGCCATCACGACGCGAAGAACAGAGCGCAAAACCCTAGTTCCCAAGAAAAGAAAGGTTCTTTTATTGCAATTGCAAGAAATCGATGGATTCACAGAGCTGGATCGCCGATCGCATCTTCAATACATCTGTGGACAAGACGAGCACCAATTTCAAGCACAGATCACGCCAAATCGAATGACTCACCGCTGGAATGCCGAAGCATTCACACGCGCAGCGAATTTCCGGTGGAGTCTTCTCCTCGTCGAGCAAGAAGATGTAGTGCAGGATGATGGGAGCGGAATCACTCTCCGGCGGGCTTGGAGCGTGATTTCGGGCGCTGAATTCACAGAAAGCCTCGTCGCACTTGGCGCTGGAGCAGTAGAACACATTCTTGCCTCTCCCGTCCGGCCTGTCGAGGTGCTGATTTCCGCAATGGCAATCCTCGCCCAGGCCCCTCACCAGCATCCTGTGCTTGTCCTTCCGGATCTCCTTCTCCTGCTCGATCCAAGCCGGGCGATCGGATGCCTCGAGCGTTCCATCACAGCTCTTGAAATGCTCGGCAGCGTCGAGCTCGCAGAAAGCCTGGCAGCATTTCCTGCAGAACAGCGAGATTCTTCCATCCGGATGCTCTTCCCTTGAGCAAGAGCAGAACTTCCACAGCGCCTTGCGAGCCGCCATAGCTCCTCGTCCTCCAAAATATTTTCCCTCTCGTCTCGCCCTCGCTCGTTTGAAAATTTGCTTATTTGTATTCGACGGAGGGTCGGTCTAGCGTTCGAATCTGGACTAGATCAAGTCCGGTGTTCGAATCCCAGCAAGAAAAAGCAGAGGTTCGAATCTCCACACTCACAAACTCAAATAAGTTTATTATAAATGGAGGGGGTTTAAGGGATAAACCTTATTTTTAGGTTTCATGGGGCGATTCCCAGACGAGTTACTCGAAGAAATCGTTATAAGATTACCTATCCAATCTATCATAGCTGCTAGATCTGTTTGCTCACACTGGAGGAACAAGTTGTGCGCCAAATACTTCCAGGCCAAGAAAGATTCTCGCGAACCACAGCAGCGCTGGATCATTATGGATTTCTTCCTCCTCAGTGAAGGTTTCCTGGGGGTTTTTGATACGATTGATAAGAAATGGCTCAAGATACCACTGTCCCTGCCTCCAAACACTAGATTTTCGCTTCTTTGTGGCTCCTGTGGATATCTTTGTTTCATGGACAGGCAGGCGATTACCACTCATCACATCCACCTTTGCAATCCAGTGACGCAGCAATGGCTACAAGTGAGTGATCCCTTTCTTTCTCAACAATTCCAGGCTAACTCCACTTCTACTGCCACAGCTTCCACTGCCACGATCAATCAAAACTTCACGCTTGCACATCCGGATGTATGGAATCAGAGGCTCGAATCATTTCAAGCTCCTGATGATAGATTGCACGGATTTGCCCTCTCGGTTAGCTGGTAGTCTCTACGATTCACACACAGGAGATTGGAAGCCTCGCAGCCAAGAGTGGATCACAAACTTTACCAGCTTATGGGACAACCTAGCTATGTGCAAGGATGGGATTTACGACATGGACAAAGAAGAGTGGAGGCTGCGCGGGCAAATTTCAGATTTCCAGCCGACAACCCTTCGTCTCCGCAGAGACGGTAGCGTATTCAGGACCAAACTGGTGGGCACGAGGATCCGAGTCTATCAGCTTGACATGGAGAGCACGCGAGAAGAGCTTGTGACAGAATCTCCAGAGAGAATGCGCGTTGAAATGCCGCCCGGGTGCTCAGGCATGATTCCATGGAGTTACTTCGATGGGCTGGACAACTTGTGGGTCGTGTGCCCAGTCCTCCCGGCGATCTACAGATACGAGCCGTGCTCTGGGCAGTGGAGCAGCTTCGATAACAAGTGGAGTGGAGCTGCAGACTTTGGCTATGCCATTTGCTGTGAGTTGAGCTTCCATGAGTTTCCTGATTGCACGATGCCATCACAAGAATAAAATCACAGCACGGAATTTACGACGAAGGGATATTCTCTATTTGAATTTGATTAGTCCATGGATTGATATTGTCCTCTTCCATTCTAGCTAATGTGACTATCCAGAACTCCAGATCAAGGTGGCAAGCTTCTCACAACAAGGAGAGTCACGAGTGGTGAAGCAGCACAGTCTTTGGAGAAGCTTGGATTTACGTTGACATTTCCTGGCCAGTCTAATATTAAATCTTTGTGGCATCTCATACAGCCATGCAGCTTGAAAGCAAGGACTTGGAAGCTACTATTTTGTCCACGGGCATTGTTCTACTACTAGGAAGGTAGTGGAGGTGAGGGGATTGCAGTATATGGTAGATCTAACTTATTCAACATGGCAGCATGGAAGTTTGTGGTGAACATATTGAAGAAAATGCTGTGAAGATTAGCTTTTCTTGCTGTTTTTTTTTTTTTTTTTTTTTTGTAAACCATGACATACATGGTGGGATGCTTCTACAATCCTAGTGATATATAAAATTATTAGCAAAACGAATTAAAGAAAAGTTTAACAGCAGAAAACCAGATATTTTAAGCATATTCTCCACACTCACGCCTATCTCAAACTGGAATAATCAAAATACCTTCAGTCAGTGGTTAAGTTTCAAATCCACTACTAACTACAATGCAAGCTTGCATGTTTGGATGTAAAAGCTAGCTGCTCTAGTCTCTACCATTCACCTGATTCAATGTGATTCAAGCTATATATCTCCAGAAGGGAAACCCATAAAAAATGCTCCTGCATTCCAATGAAGTTATTTCGATCAACCATGTTTACATATGGAGCAACTTCGGTTAAAAGTTGAGTCATTGGTTACACAGACCTGATGTATTTTCTTGATTTTGTGTCGAAAAACGTGGCTTTGAGAATGGTGATCTTGTTCTTGCAGCAAAGCCTTTGGTGTAAATGGTATCATCATCTGATTTTCTGATTAACTTCTGTTTAAGCTTATTTGATCCTAATCCTAGCTTGGTTAAAGATTTATCGAATCAGAGGGTTTATGGGGAGGGGGAGGTCACAGTGCGACATTCCAGACGAGCTCCTCGATGAGGTTTTCATCCGGCTTCCCCTCCAATGGATCGTCACAGCTAGGTCGGTGTGTAGGCGCTGGAGAAGAAAGCTGTGCTGCAAATCCTTCTTGGCCAAGCACGATCTTCATGGGCCACAGCAGCGCTGGATCATTGTGGATTACTTCCTCAACAGCAAGGGTTTCCTGGGGGCTTTCAACACCGTGGACAGGAAGTGGCTTGCGATTCCAGTGTTGCTGCCTCCACGCACTCGAAATTTATCGCTGCTTTGTGGCTCTCAGGGATTCCTTTGCTTCCTGGACAGGCAAAAGCTTCACGCTAGACATGTCCACCTTTGCAATCCAGTAACGAAGCAATGGCTAAAGGTAAGCTCCTCGATCGTTTAGAACTTTGCATGAGAGTTACAAACCAGGTTCCATTGCCACGATCCATCTCGCCGTTACACTTGCACTTACGGATCTATGGAACCAGAGGCTCGAATCATTTCAAGCTCTTGATGCTGGATCAGACTTGTGACTTGGTTCCAGTTGCTAGTCTCTACGATTCACGCACACGAAAGTGGAGGCCTCTCAACCAGGCGCTAGCCGCAAGCTTTTTCAGCTTGTGGGACAACTTAGTATTGAGCTCGAACGGGATTTACGACCTGGAGAAAGAAGAGTGGAGACTTTCTGTGCAAATACCACGGTTTCGTGCCTCTTCACTACTTCTCCGCAGGGATGGTGGCATTTTCAAGGCCAGAGTGTTAGTCGCGAAGATCAAGTTGTTTCAGCTGAGCATGGAGAGCATGCGAGATGAGCTTGTGGCTGAATCTCCAGGGGGAATGCTGCCACAGGGATCCACACCAAAGCCATGGTGTTTCTTCGATGAATTGGACAACGTGTGGATCGTGTCTCGATGGATGCCGGCAATCTTTATGTACGAGGCTAGCTCAGAGCAGTGGAGAAAGTTTGACTACAAGTGGAGCGGATTCGAGGACAGAGGTATTGCCGAGTGCTGCAATTTAAGTTTCCATCAGTTTCCTCATGCATGATATCTATGCTTTGTATTTTATTTTAAAACTCTCATAAATGAGTTCTTCAGTAGGTTAAAGAATATGATAATCTTCCATTCAAAAACTTCCTGTCTCCCCTGTACACAAAACACTTGGTGCATAAAGGCACTGAATGTTTCCATCAAATTATCAAATCGATAAAATGCTTTATTTCGTTAAAGTGGGACTTATTCAGTAAAGTGGGACATTAATTAGCATGTGTCCACATGCCATTTCCTAGTACTTAATTAATATTTATTAATATTTCTATCAGTTTTTTAATTTATTTTTTTATATTTCACAATATTATAACACAAAATCATATGAAAAGTTTTTAATTTATAAATTATAAAGTTAAAACTTCAATTTTTTATTGTTGTTATAAAAATGGCATGTGGCCACACACCATAAGTGGGATAATGAAAAGTCCCACTTTAACGAAATAAAGCATTAAAGTTCAAGAACAAGGAAAGGGCCACAAAAAAACTTGCTTTTAACAGCTGTGCAGTGGTCAGTGGTCACTGTTTTCTCAAGCTTTCAAAAAAAAAGTTGATAAGTCAGAAAAGTTTGTCAGGCTGTTAGGCCGTGATCAGATTATCTCTGTCCCTTCATCCTCAAAACATCGATATTAAGCTTTGCTAAACATCCAGACTTTCAGGTTTGATCAGATATGACTTTGAATGCTTTTCAGACTTTCCGTTTGATTGCGGCACCGTTACAGCTACAGATGTGGGTCAATGCTCGTGGTCAATTGGTCAAGGTCAAATAAGTGGTCGTTGCTTTGCGGTTGAGTTGTTCGCATAAAATGTGGATTCACATTTACATCAACAAAGAACCATGCCAAAATTGTGTGTAGATTCTTTGAGGGCCTTGAAGGTGTGAATGAGGGAGATCTCACGAAAGCGATTGCTGTTCGTTGTCACAGAAGCCTCCAGATTATCAAGAAAACCTCACTTTTGGCAATCGTACAGTAGCTAGTGTGTGCAATTCTTGAGATAAAAAAGTTGTTATATTAGATGTGAAAGTGAGAAGAGTGGTTTAGCATGGAGGACCAAATGCTTTAAACTAGTTGTTAATATGCTCGTTTTGGTGGTGTTCTTCCTTTGTTAATATTGATTCTATCTGGTGATCCTGGTGAAATGGATGGAGATTTTCGCTTGAACACTCTGCTTGGCAACGATGCTGGTTTTGAATACACTGTGCTCGCCGACTGGAAGGGCCTGGCAGCAGCAGCACCATGGAGAAACAGGAGGAGCACGGCCAAGATCACAACCACATGAACCATCCTTGATCTCTCCATTTCCAGAGCAGGAGAGATTGGCTAGCTGAAACTTCTGAACACAAAATTTTGAGTGCAGCTTGCTACAAAATATGATCCATCATATCAAACCGTGAGGTTTTTATAGATCTGTTTCGCACTGACCCAAGACAAGAAGAGGGAAGTTTCGGTTCACTTTCAATACTTGAATCTCGCAGGTCTTGCTTTGATTTTGCGGCACCGTTATGGGTACAGCAAACCAAAAACTATAAAATACAGAGAAATATTCTTAAAATATAATTGAGTATTCTACGTAAACTAAAAATAAAAATATTAACTATAACAATTTTTTTTAATAATAAATAATTTTTATTTATATTCATTCAGTATAGTTTGAAAACAGAGCTTATGCGTTAAGCTTTTATGGCTCAGTTGGCCGTTTAGTAAGCGGGAGGTCCTGAGTTCGACTCTCAGTAAAAGCATTTAGTTTTGTTTTTGCTTCCTAGGGTTTGTGGCAATGCTGCTAGAAAATTTGCACTTCTCGCTCTTCACTCCACCTCCGCGAAGATTTTGTCGTCGTGGGAGAGCTCGCGAGCGCTGCTGCCATGGCTTCGTCATCGCCGGGGATTGCTGCTCCATTCGCCACGCCGCCAAAGCTCAGTAAGTACCAGCAGTGCCTCCATGGCTGGAGCTCTGAGATTTCGTCTCGAGCAGGATCTCGAGAGAGCCAGCTGATCGGAGCGGCGGATTCGAGGGAAGGAATCCCTTGATCGGTGCATTCCACGAGAAAGGGGACGTCGTGGCTGGGAAATACAGGATTGTTGGTGTTCTTGGCAGCGGTGGCGTGGGTGTTACGTATGAGGCCGAGACCGAAAGAGGCGATGCTGTGGCTATCAAAGCCATGTCTCTGAGAAACATGAAAGGCTGGAAGGTTAGTTCTTTTTTTCTCTTCTCCGTGTGATCATGCTTGCATTGCTTGCAGGATCTCGATCTTTTCGAAAGGGAAGCTAGAGTGTTAAAATCACTCCAGCATTCTGGGATCCCCGAATACATTGACTTCTTTGAGGTATTGCTGTTGTTTCTTTGTTTTTTTCTTTCTTCTTTCTTTTTGTTCCTTTCCTTGTTGAAGCTGAATACTAAGCTCGCAGATAGAAAACGAGAAAGATAAAGGCTTTTACATCGTCCAGAAGGTCGCAAAAGGAAAATCGTTGGCCAAGCTAGTTGAGGAGGGATGGCGAGTCTCTGAGCAGGAGGTGAAAGACATCGCCATCGAGGTTTGCAACTAAACACTTGTAGTTGCAATGGTGACATTCTCTTTTAGATTCTTGATGTCTTGAAATATCTGGGAAGCTTGAGGCCTCCTGTCATTCATCGAGATATCAAGGTTCGTTTCGCAACTTTATGGAAGTCTCACGATCGTTCTTTGTGAATCTTTTTTCGCAGCCTGATAACATCATATTGGACGAAGCGACTGGCAAAGTGAAGGTGGTTGATTTTGGCGCCGTGCAAGATACAACATCGTCGGCAACTTTTATCGGCAGCACTGTTGTTGGCACGGTGTGAGCTCCGCAAATCTAGTTTTTTCTTTGAGGTCTAAGCCTTTTATCGAACACAGGCTTTAGATTTTGTTTACTGAAGCGTTTTTTTTTTTTCTTGCAGTACGGCTACATGGCTCCAGAGCAATTTCAAAACCGTGCCACGCTGCAGACTGATCTGTATGGACTTGGTGGAACGCTTTTGTTCATGCTTTCGGGACGCTCTCCTGCAACGTTTCCTCAGGTTTGGAAAACATAGAAAGCCTCGGCCATCTCTAACCTTTTCAAATTTTGCAGAAAAGACTGAGGGTTGATTTCCAAAACTTTGTTTCTGCGAGCCCAAGCATGACGCGTGTGGTTGAAAAGCTTCTAGAACCAGCTCCTGAAGACAGATATCAGGTCATTGATATTTTTTCTGGTTTCCTTTACATTGTGTGATGGATGCAGTCAGCTGACGAGGTGATTCGGGCACTTCAAGATGGCGAATCTCCCGTTGTGGCAGGGGAGAGTTTTTTCGATTATGCTGCAAAAAGTCGAAAGCCATATGGAACAAAAGTTGTATGTATCTCGCTTTTTCGAACTGTTTCTATAATCGTTTTCCTTTTAAAAGGTGTTGACGAGGTTCCCAGACTCCTTGACAATCAGCATTCCTCGAGCAGGTGTTGGTGCGGCTGCTGCTACTGGAACGTTTGCTTTGGTATGTCACTCCCTTCGTTTTTCTCTAAGTTGCTCAACTACCAGTATTGTAGGCGTGGAATTCATTCCTCTTGCTTTGGACGTTCGGAGCACCATTGCCATTCGTTTTCTTTTCTATCCCTTTCTGGTTTGTTGGATATGGGTACGTCTCATCATTTTTAAGCGAGTTTTGTCAGCTAAAACCGTGAGGCTTGCTTCTTGCAGTCTTTCCAAAGACGCGCTCTCTGCACTCACTGTTACAACTTTCATAGAGCTTACGAAACGTTATTTCTCAATCGAATGGAAGGTGGGAAACTTCTGGACACATCGGGTTCAAGGCTTGACACAAGACATCACTTCGGTGGAGCTTTGTGCGGAATGGGTAGAGGTTTTGTCCAATCATCTTTCCAAACTCCTGTGTCCATTTCCCAGGTACGAAACAGGCGGCGGATCAAATCGTGCTGCATCAGGGAAGGTGTCAAAGTCCACGATTTTGGAGGGGGGCTGGAGCTGGTGGAGAAGAATTGGCTAGTAAACGAGATATCGTCGTTCCTGGGGATTCCCCCGCCGCCTCCAGTCTTGGAAGAGACTTTCGTGGATAATAGAGAACGCGACTTTTGGGGGAGAGATCGAGATTTCCATGACGACTTTTGGTAGCACTTAGAACGAGACCGGCCTCAGGTACTGTGGAGAATGTGCCAGGTAGCTAACTTGTAATTGACTTTCAGGTACAGTGAGAAAAATAAAATACACCGTGTCTATAAGGTGAAACCGGCTTCTTCTACGGTTATCTAGTTCCTGGCAGACGAAAACTTCGGTATAGCAGTGTGAGATGATGAAGGGACTCGGCTGCTTCGTTCTGCTGCTGGCGCTTTCGCCATGTATTCTTGCAGCTGGTAAGCAGTGTCAGTTTAGCTAAGATTGTCACCCTTTTGTTTGTTTCCAGTCTGCCCTCAGTACTGCATCGCAAGCGCCGATTACGTGATCTGCGAGTCTCCGTCGCCTGCGAAGTATCCGCCAGCGTGTGGGAACTGCTGCTTTGCAAAGGGAGAGATTGGAAGCCTTGCAAAGAACTGCAGCATACACCTCAAGGATGGGACTCTTCTTGCTTGCAATTTCTAGCTGCAAGATTTGATAGTGTCGTGTCTTAAGGTACTTTCCTATTTGGAAGAACTAATATGTGTCTCTGTTATATCAAGTTTCTTGCTACGACTTCTCGGTCACTGCGAGAATTTTCGCGCAGAAATCGTGTCTAACTTGAACTCTTTTCCATTCGTTTGACCGGTGCGAAGTTCCAGCAACTATAAAAATCGGCATTAGTCGGGTAAAGTATGAACTTGTCCATTTGCATTCCAGGAAGATGAAGCTCGCTGTCTCCTGTGCTGTTGTGCTACTGCTGGTCTCTTACCAATGCGAACTCGTCCCTGGTAAGCTAGCCAAAGTTTTTCGCTGTGCTTGACGAGTTTTTTCCTTCGTTTTTGTCCAGCATGTCCACAGTACTGCCTCTCGGATGCCGATTATGTGATCTGCAACTCGCCCGTGCCTGCAAAGTATCCGGTTTCGTGTGGAAACTGCTGCTTTGCAAGGAGCGCAGTCGGAAGCTCGAAGGATTGTAGCATTCACTTCACCGATGGGAGACTTCAGGCCTGTGGCTTCTAGTTTCGTGACTAGAGAGTAACTTTCCTTCTTAATAGTAGGCATTTGATCTTTTTTCTTGGTAGTCCTCTCTCTCTCTCTCTCTCTCGGAAGATATGAGAGATCCAATCCATCGCCCATCGAATCGTCTAAGAGAGGAGATGGAGATGGGCGAGAGAAACACCACACACACAAGAAAAAAAAAAGAGTGTGAGTAACCAAACACGCTGGAAAAGAATAAAGCCTACATGCTCGAGGAAGAAAAGGAAAGCTTTTTTGAGCGAGATTGTCTCTCACGAGATTGTTTTGGAGAAGAACCTGTCCTCCATCGCTCGGGAAAAACTCGGCTAGACCGAGAGAGAGAGCAAACAAAATTGTGTATGTACCTCACGGTAGTGAAGCGTAACCCCCGAAAGTTTTCACGGATCTTCCATTTCCTGTGAAGCTCCTCCTCCGCCACCACCACCACCACCAGCGTTCTCGGCCTTTTTCACTGGTTTCTTCCTCCTCGGCTTGTTGGAGGAGAAGAGCCGGGCAATCTGGAGCTGCGTGTTGAGCATCATCTCCGCTCGCTTGGCCTCCATCTCGATCCGCCGGAGCTCCGCCTCGGCATTCAACCGAGCCACCTCCCGCTGCATCTGGATCTGCGCCTCCTCGATTCTCAGCAGCGACTCTCCAAACGATTTCATCACCGCCACCACCTCGTTCATCGAGGACGCTCCCCCGGCATGCTTCCGCCGTTTGAATCCACCGCCGCCACAACCAACACCGCCACCACCACCACCGTTACCGCCGGCACCGCCACCGCCACCGCCACCCCGCCCATCCAAACAAGCCACTGCCTCTTCTCGGACCCTCGAGCAAGGATCCAGCAAGCTCGTCAAGCTCCCATTCTCCTTCGCGACGTGGTGGTGTGGAGTCGTGAAGGACGTATCCTCGTCCTCGATCTCCTTCTCGCCAATCCTTCCAGCAGCGGCGGTGGCAGCCCCGGGAGTACACTGCCGGAAGTGGAGATGGCTCTCGATCTGGTTGAAAGAATCCAGCTCCATCACCGCGGGCTGTGCGTGCTCGCCGTTATCCATCCCCCCCGGCATCCCCACCACGCTCTTGAATCCATTCCTCGCCAGCAAGCTCTCCATCCTCTGGAAGAAGACCCACTTGGAATACGATCCGGGAGCGCCGCCCACTCCACTGCCCTTCATCGCCTTCTCCGCGCGGTACTTCTTCTTCATGTCCTCGATCTTGTTCTTGCACTGCGTGGGCGTCTTGGCCACCCACAATCCACTGCTGTGCGTGGCGAGCCTGTGCGCGATCTCCTCCCAGTGCTTGCTCTTGACATTCCCCCTCTCCAGCTGATTCCACTTCTCCTCGTACGCATCCAGCAAGAACCACACCTCCTGATCCGTCCAGAAGTTAAATTCCTTGCGGGCGCCATCGCCGCGGTCCTTGTCCTTGCCATCGCTGCCATCGGCGTGAGAGGGAGACTGCATCATGCCCGCCATCGCATTCATGCTCGCTTCGCCTCCCCCCTGCGCCATCCACACCCTAGAAACCCCTGGAAAACCCTCGCGATCTCTTCCCGGATCCCACACAACCATAGCGGCGATCCTCCTGGCACTCCACCGAATCGATCCAATCCATCGCTCGCTGGCCGCGATCGCGCATCGACCAGATCGAGGATCGCAAGAACAAGTTAAAAAAAATGGTAGCCTAACCCATCTTTTTACTTTATTAGCCCTAAGAGCACTCCTTTATTACTTTATTACTTTGTTAGTTAATGAGCTACTTTATTAGCCCTAAGATCACTCCTTTATTACTTTATCTTTTGTTAGCTGAAGTAAACCCTTAAAATGGTCTCTCCTTTATTACTTTTTCACTTTGTTCTTAGGAGTAATTTTTTTTCTTTCCATCCAGCGCGAGACCTTTGTCTCGGGCTGGCGATCCAAAATCTCCGAAGGTTAGGACAACACAGACGTTACTTATTTACACGAGACCTCTCTCTCCTGTAGAGTTCTTTCTTCGTGCCTGGCTTGCCGGCAATTCTCCATTCTTTTCTTTGGCGATCGATGGATGAATAGATCGATCGATCTCTCACAGCATTAGAGCGATCGCCGTTGCCACTAGCACATTTCGCATAGCTGATAATCTCTGAGAATACCAACCTGGAAGAAGCAGGCACAGTTTTAGCTCGAAAAGAAGGAAGAGAGAGAGAGAGCTTACTTGAAGAACTCTGAGGCTCTGCTACTCCCGGAACAAAAGCCATGCCTCCCGAAAGTTTATCGGGAAAATCTGGAGCAGCCGAGACGAAGTCCGGTGACTTTGCAAACCCGGTCTGGATGGAGTAAACCGGAGCGGGAGCTGGGGCGTCGTAAGCTCCAGGATAGAACAACTTTGGGGAGCGTCCATAGCTGTAGTCTGTGTATTCCTGCGACCCACCTGAGACTGGAGCTGGGCTTGGAGCTGGGCTTGGAGCGATATCAAGTCCCAGAGCGTGCCGAAACATTGGCGAAAGTTGTATATCCTTCACCCTCCCGAACAGCGTATGGTTTAGCCTGAGGTTCTTCCGGTGCCTTGAGACCTTGAGAGCCAGCTGCCTTATTCTCGTCGAAGAAAAATGGCGTCCGGCAGGGAATACCGTAGCCTGTATGATGACAGGAGACTCCACCGTGGAGCCGTTTAGATTTGTCAGCCGAGCGATCAAAGTCTACAAGAGCAAGTAAAAGAGTTAAAGCTAAAGATGTGAGAAGAACGAGAACTATTCTAACCTCGTTGTGTTGCAGACTGATCCCACCCGCGAGCTGATGCTTGAAAACTCGAAAGTTGCTACTCACGCCTGAGATGGTACTGTTGGGCAATGTGAAGTTGAAAAGCGACGGCCTCCTGAGAGACTTCTGCCACTTCCCAGGGACGATGCTCAATCCACCAGGAAACTTGTTGATTTGGAAATCGTACACTTGTCCGAATGTCGTTGGCGTCAGAGAAAGGTTCCTCTGTTGCAGGAAAAACTTCACGAGGCTCTTCTTGACAGCAGACTCGTTGTAAGGCGCCCGATGGTCGGGAAGGAGCTGAAAGCGAACTTCGGCATATCTGCAATCGTTGGTTTGGTTTACGTACAATAGAGACACCTGAAAGTGACAACACGTTATACACATATATCTTGTGAAGCACGCACAGCACATACCTTCATGTTTGAGGAAGGGATATGGCTCGAAAGATTTGCCTCAAGCTCCGCTTTGTATCTTTCGATGACTGAAGCGGATCTCTGGAGCTTAAACGTGAACATGAATGGAGCTGAAAAAACAAGAGAGAAAGAAGAATTAGATGATCCAATCTAGAAACAAGAACCAAGTACTAGAAAGAGTCTACCTTCGATGAAAGAGTTCTTCGCACCGTTGTGTCCTCTACGAATGCCAACGGTGAGCAAAACAAACACCAAGAGCTGCAAGCTGAGAACCACCGTGACGATCCATCTCCAAGTCGACCTCTGGAAGCACGAGCGGCAGTCCTGTGGATTCACGGGACCCTCGGTCTCCAAAGCCGCCGACGATGGAGCTCCCTCATCGTTCTTCCCCATAACCTTCATTAACACCCGGCCGACGGCCATATCCTTCCACTGGCATGGCAATCCCTACACTCACTGCTACAAATCGGCATCTACTGGCCAATGTAGATGCCCCGACCCTCGCCCCGGGAGCGACAATGCCGCCATCGCCTAGAAATCGAGCCAGCGCAAGCGAGGATGAGGGCGCGCTGTAGCCTCGACTGGATCGATCGATCCCTGGACCGAAATCTTACCTCTAGAAGGCGCTCGCCGAGATCTCGCCTAGCTGCGTCGCCGCATCAGCGCCTGCTCCCCTCGGCGGCGTCGTGGCATAGCAAAACCCTCGAGCTCGATCCAGCTGAAGCGACCTAACTCGCCATGGACACGTCCATCCGACGGTGGGATCCAGCGCCACGTCCACTAGAGTTAAAAAAACCGGGTTTTCTGGCAATCCAACGGCGCGCAAGCGTGGATTAGATTTGGCCCGGGTTGATCCAAGCGCTGGCATTCCGCCAGGTCGACTCTAGCTGGCGCTCTGAAAATAAAGGTACACCCACATTAAAGGCTTTTAAATTTCTGTTTTGTTAGAGTTTTCAAAACATTAGGGTTTAAGCACCGGCGATTGATCGCGTGCGCGATCCTCACGGCGAATGGATCTTCTCTTTGCGATGAGGTAATTCGATCCAAACTCTTGGGATTTCTCTTGGCCTTTCCTAAAATTTTCAATCTCTTGCGATAGCTCGCCAAATGTGTAGCGAGAGTTTCTTGCCAAAAGGTATGAGTCATGGCTCGCGTTTTGGAGTATGCCCTTGCTGTCACGCTTCCATCGCGCTATTTTTTATGGACTCTCACTTAGACACTTGTCTCCGAAAAAGGTTGGGTCCCTTCTCTGCTTGCTTCTAAACTTCTAACTTGGCTCGCATTTGATGTTCTTATTAGTCACGAGGAGGATTCTGTGGAACCAGATGATGAAAAACCAGTTAAGATTTTTTTTTTCCTCCTTCTCGTGGCTGGGAAGTTGTAATGTGCGCATCTCATTTCTCTGAATTCAGGAGGAAGAACCTCAGACCAAGCAAGAAGTATTTCCACTCTTCCGTCAAAGAAAGAAGGTGTGTTTGCTTTTGCATCCCTTTTCTTTTCTTTTCTTCTTGTTTTCTTACTCGCGTTTTAAGCTTTTGGCATCTCAGATCATTCATATTATCAGGCACGGGCATACTTTGTTTCAGCAAGGAGATCAGAAGATGATCGATGTAAGGCTCTCGGCTCAAGGCATTCAACAGGTAAGAGTATGATCCTTTAGTTATTTAATCTTCTTCGTCTTGCTAATATAAAACTCTTGGTATGATCATTTAGGCCTCCTGCATTGGTCAGCAGTTGCTGTCGCTTAAGCCAGACGTGGTAAACGTTTCAATAAGAAGATTTCTAAAGCTTACTTGTGTGGTCTAGATTCTAGTTTCTCCTCTAACAAGAGCGTTGGACACATTGAGATGGGCTTTACACCCGTTCAAGGTGATATACAAGGTTTTGCATTCTCCCAAATTTGTATTCAGGACGAGAGAAGCAGTTTGCGTCTGGAAGTCAGCAGCTTACACACTGAGCACGTAGCTGGTGCTGGAGATATTGGCCGTGATCCACAGGTAACCACTTTCTTCTCTTTCAACTTAAAATGTATTGTTAGAGCTCACTCTGCTTACAGGTACTTTCTCTTGATTTTCCTTGGCTATCATTCGAGAAGCTCGATCCAGTCTGGTGGTTCTCGCCGCCAGAGGCTCCAAACATCGGGGCATTTCGGACGAGAGAAAACACTGGTCTGACTTCCTTTCCCCTTCTCTAATTTTGATGTATTCTTCATGAACTCAGCGAACCTCCGCAAACGGGTCGCTTCTTTTCGTCGCCATCTTCTTTCCAGGCCAGAACAAGTAATTGCTGTTGTTGGACATTCTACTTTCTTCATGGTGCGTATTCTTTGGATGTTGTTTCGTTTCTGTAACTCTTTCTACTGTGGTTCGCTCCAGGTGCTTACCGGTGAGGAGAAGCGAATGCGTCACTGTGAGTTTCGCAAGCTCGCAATCTAAGTAATGTGCATTTGCAACATTGTGTTTTCTCTAACGTTTGCAAATTTGATAGGACGTGATGATGCCAAAGCTATTTCCCAAAGTCATCCCGGAGTTCATGCTGTAAGAAATGTTTCCAGACAGTTGGCCTTTTATGTGTTTCAGGCAGAATTTATGATCAAGTCCATAACTGTCAATTCTTCAATATCTTGGCAGTGTTCAAATTGCTCTCAAACTCTCTTCTTTGGATTGATTCTCAAGACTGTCAGCAGCTTGAAAACTAATTAAACTCTCTTCTCCGTGTTTGCATGCTTGGAGCGGGATGAGCATACAGCCAGCTACAATCATTTCAGCACTGGTTGCCTTCCCTCCAGCGTGCCTTGCAGGGAAGGCAGCCTTGAAATCCATCAAAAGCTTCATCACAAGTGTTCTAGAACTGGAGAGCATTGCAGTTCAAGCTGCATCTGATGAAGGCCAGCTGATGTATTTGCCGCTTGTTGAAGACAGCATGGGCAGACTCATCAGCCTACAAGGCTCTGGAGAGGGGCAAAAAGCCTTGAAAATCTGAGAAGCCATGCCTTTCAGGCAGCTTCAAGCAGTGGTGGTGCTAGTACCAGTACAAATTGGCTTGAAAGGTATCTCAAGTGTGGAAGTTTGCATATTTCTATTGGGAAGTATGATTGACAAGCAAAAAGTTAATAGGTTAAGTCGTGCGTTGAGAGTGACCTGGGATCAAGAATGCGAGAAAGTTCTAGAGATTGACAGTAAATATTACTATTGACAGAGTTGGAGCTCATAAAGGACTGCAAACATGTAATAAAAGTTTTCGGCATGAAAGATGGAAATTACATAGCTTTGCGATTTCAGAGACTTTTATTTTGAGAAGGATGAGCGATTGTATTATAAGCTCTCCGAGGAGGGCGTAATCAAGGAAATCATGTCACAATTTTTGGTGGGCTTGGTGCACAACATCTCGCTTATGCAAGCTTGCCAGGACATTCAGCCCGAGTGCATAAAGGCATAAAGTTTGAGATCAATCACAGAAACATTGTGGTGAAGCTAGGAGTTCTGCCCAAGGAAGCTCACAGCACCAAACCTAGATAATTTTGGATCATTGTGATACAAGTTATCTCTGGGGATATCGAGAAAATGGAGAGAGGTGTGGATGTGGGGGTGTTGGAGTTTGCAATGATGCTCTTGCAAAAGAACTTCTCTTGCTATTTGATGGTAGCTTCTTGGACGGCGAGAACCATGTTTTCTCCACCGAGGGCCATCTCTTCCCTGTCAACCAGTCGTGCCAGCAACAGCCCCGTCCCAAGGTACCAGAGGATCAATCTCGCAAAACATAAGTAGCATTTGTGTGTTTTGACAGATATTGTCAAGGCCACGACTATTTTCAAGGCAAAAGCCCATAGACACCAGCACTCTTGCATCAAAGACATGTCCTCGCTTGAGCAGAGGAAGTGTGGAATCGGCATGCCACATCCCAGACACTAACGCTGACCACTGATGTATTTCAAGGTCGGACTGTGGCGTAGCCGTGACTACTTGCACGAAGAGGTCGTGTAGTTTTGCTGGTTATTGCTCGTGACAAGATCACCAAAAGCATATGCAAATTATTTTCTTCCCAGAAAAAATAAGTATAGTTTTGCTGGCATATATATATTGATAATCCCAGAAGAAGAAAGAAAAAAAGAAAAAGAAAAAGCTATGGGTCACATGTAGGAATGTTTGGTTTCAATTGATTAAATAAATTTAAAATTATGTTTTGTGAGTGCATAAGGGAATAATATCAATTAACTTAAAAACCCTAGCTTATATACAGTAGCAAGTGGTGGGGATTGAAACCAATCCGACGGTTACCAAACTCCCACTATGCTAATATTAGTATACAATATTATAGCCGTACACCTAGACCTCACATCATCCCCTCCTCTCGAAATAATGAAAGACCATTAGAGTTCTCTTGTAAATGGGCTAGGATTTGAAGGAACGTCAGGAGGAGGCATTAGCGGAACTGTAGGTGGTATTAGTTATTCCTGATCCCTTTGTATTAAGCATTTTAATTGCTGCACATGCACAATTTTTGAAGGATCGGCTTGCTAGACATTATACTAAACCTCATAAACTTGTGGTCCAACTTGCCACAACACCTAATACGATCCTTTCCACTGAGCAAGAAGCTCCTTAGATAAACCACATACTGTAAAATGAGGAAAATGGATTAATATTAAGTCATCCACTTTGTACTCTACAGGTGGACGATGATGGGAGTTGTAGCGCCATTGTTGTCTTACTTGTACGTAGCTTAAGTGTTTTGCAGACTCTGCTCAGACAAGTGGAAGAATGTTTTTTAAATACTGATCCCACGACCTAGCATCAGTAGCTCATGGCAATTGCAAAGGTAAACCTAGCTCTATTAGTAATATTGGATCATGACTATATAAGAGTTTATATGGTGAAGCACTAATAGAACTCTGCACCCCTATGATATATGCATACCAAAAAGACAACAAATAATAATTCCAATCTGAATGTTGAAAGTTTACGTACTTCGCAATCATTCCTTTAAATGTCTGAACGAGCCATTCTACCAAACTATTTGACTAGGGATAATAACCATTTATGAAAGTGTGGTGTATCCCCAACCGAGACATCAAAACATGAAATGCCTCAGCCATAAATACGGGACTATTATCCAAAAGAAGCCATTTTGAACAAGAATGTTGGAACACCACTCCATTGAAGAGGAAGTATCCAACAATAGTTGCAAAGGCACTAGCAAGAACACCAACTTCTACTCAATGAGTCAAATAGTCAGAAGCAATAATAACATATTCATTATCAGCAGTCAATCATGGAAAAAGTCCTATAAGGTCAAATGCCACCAACTCAAATGGATGGGAAACTACAATTGACTTTAACCGTCCTTATGTGGCACGAGGGGGAGTATTACGAACTTGGCACTAAATGTAGCTACACACATATTGAATAACATTACATCATATCTTTGGCCAATAAAAAGACTTGCACAGCTTTTCAGTCACACGATGATGTTCCATATGCCTGCTAGAATAGAAGAATCATAGTAAGCATGGAGAAACCGTGGAATAAAGATAGAAGGCACCACCAAGCATAAAGGATTATTAGGATCCATCCCCACAAAATAAAGAAGGCCATCGTCAAAGCGATACTGAGAATGTAAATGCCAGAATGGCAAGTCATCAGCAAGTGATGCAAGATTCTCAAACCCATCTCAAAGCCTTTGAATCCATGGGTCAAGCTTTTGAGCCTCACGAATCTCATCAAAAGAAGGTAGATCTTGCTCTGCACCTTGTAAACATTCAATGTCAAGTACAGCAACCACCGACAGCACAGAATCCTTGTCTAGAAAATCCATATATACCGAAACAACAGGCTCGACAGAAACATGAGAAGAGGGTGGAGAAGGAAAAAGGAGTTCGAGAAAGGGTATCAGCATTAGCCATAGAACTCCTTAAGCAATGAACAACATCAAAATCATATATTTGAAATTTCAAAGCCCACTAAATAGTATGACCAACCAAGTTTTTTCACTTTAATAATGAAGTAACTGCAGCATGATCACCTTCAAGTAATGTCCGAGAATCATCTAGATATGCATGACATTTCTCGAAACCCAGACTGCTACTAAACACTCTTTTATCATGGAGTAAATCACCTCTGCTGGTTATAATGTATGGCTTATATACGCAATGGGATGGCACTGACCAGGCACACTCGGGCTCTCTTGCATCAACACATCTCTAAGAGCAATATCAAAAGCATCCACGCGCAAAATAAAAAGTCGAGTGTAGTCAAGATATGCCAAAACCGAAGGCAATGCTTGCAATGGTGCAATGCAATCAGAAAGATGATCCACAAAACAATCGAGATACTGCACCTTGCCTAGGAAACGCTGCACATCATTCACAAACTTTAGACTAAGGAACTTTAGAATGGCTGTAAGTTTGACAAGATCAACTTGCAAACCCTCATAAGAAATATGGTACCCAAGATAAGTTGTGTCTTTAGACCCAAACATGCATTTCGATCGCTTCAGCTTTAAATTAACATTTTGTAGCCGATCTAACACTTTACAATCACAAATGTGCTCCTCCTATGTCCCCTTCAAGTGGATGAAAACATCATCAATAAAGTCAGAAGTCACCTTTGGCATATCGCAAAAAACCTCGTCCATCATCTGCTGAAAAGTTGCTGGAGCATTATTCAAACCAAATGGCATCACCAAGAACTCATACAAACCAAATAGTGTACAAAAAATAGTTATAGGAATATCTTCTTTGGCCATCGGTACTTGCTAGTACCCAGAAGCAAAATCTAGCTTAGTGAACCAACATCTTTACCCCAGATGATCCAAAAGATCAGCAGCGTAACGAAAAGGATATACATCCGGGATCATCACTTTGTTTAACAGATGATAGTCAATGCAGAAATGAATACTCCCATCAGGCTTCGTCACAATATGAGGTTCATATGCCCAAGGACTCCATGACTTCCGAATAACACCCTTGTCTAATATCTTCTTGACGTTTGCATGTAAAATCTTGATCTCCTTGGGTGACTAACGGCAAACAAGAACCTTGATTAGACAAGCATCCTTGGTTGAAATTGGATAACATATGGCAATCTTGGCCCTAGACGATAGGTCAAATTCAAAAAAATTAGAATACTCCTTCATTAGCTAGTCAACTGCTCCAATACAAAGAGTGTTAGAGGGATCAGAAAAGGGAAGAGTAGAAGAAGATAGAAATATAAGAGGAAATAGTGGGGGGACAAAATTAATGGAAAAAAAAAGTAAAAATAGAGAGATAAAGAGGTGCAAAAGTGAAAAGAATGGATGAAACATAAAGAAGTATGAGACAAAGGGGAGAAGCCTCAAAATCACACTTAGCATGATTATGCTACAACCAATCTATACCAAAAATGAGGTAAAAAACTTGACTCAACACCACCCTTAATGGCTGCAACCCAAGCTCGAGATCACCTACATGCACAATCAAGTCTATCTCATCCCATGCACATGCATGTGTATAGCTGTTGCCATAAAGAATGAAAACTAGATCCGCCACATGACGCAAGTGTAGGCAGCAACGTGTGGCAACAGGTCAAGCAATAGAAGATAAACTCGAACCTATATCAACCAACATAATAAGAGACCTCTTGTTATAAAAATGACCTTGGAAAATAAACACTAGATGAATCGGTGCCGAGTGAACCCTTTAATGATACTCCCGAAAGAAAGATGGAGGGGTCACTGATTTATTCGCGCAAGGTCCCTCTGTTACTTGCGTGATTCCTTGTTTCCCAGATGCATCTCGGTGTCTAAACCTTCCACTGCATCAACACCAACAAGATGTTATTGATGCCAAGGTCTTCACCTAGAAAATGGAGGTCGCCAATTCGGAAAACACCGATAACACCAATAAGTGTGACCAACTTCATCACATGCCCAACAGCGAACTTCATGGCCATGACCATGTCCTCGCCCTTATCATTGGACTCAAGTAGCAGTAGCATCAACCTCCATTAGAATAGGACCATCACTTATAGGAAGTGGAGCGGAAGGATATGCAGTGAGAAGTGGAAGAGGTGACGTCTCATAACATTGTGCCAAGCGAAAAGCATCATCAAAGGTGGCTAGAGCAAGTGCATGCACAAGTTCAATAAGATCTTGATGAAGTGTTGGCCACAACATTCCTAACTTGATCCGCTCTAACATATTTGGCTCCGCACGAAGTAAAAGGTTTCGAAAACGAATGCCAAATTACATCATCCACTCAGATGGCCCTTGATGAAGATGATGCAATTGTTGAAAGGCATCATCACATTTGTCAGCATGTCCAAATATGCATTTGAAGACGTCCAAGAGAACATTCCAATCCTCATGAATAGCTGCACTCAAACCATTATACCACTACAATGTTGTCCTTTAAAGACACGTGAGAAACTCACACAAACGTCAAATATCATCCCAAAACTGATAAGTGGCAATCACCGTGAAGTGATCGAACCAATGGTACATATCATCCCCAAGATTCCCACAAAAGAACTCTGGTTGAACATAAGGATTAATACCAAGAGCAAAAGGAGCTATACCATGTATTGTGGATGCCACCATCAATTGAATTTGGTTATTCAATTACAATCGCATGGCATTAAGCAATTGCACCAACTGCTACTTCAGAAGTTAGAGGAAGAGACTGTTGCTCTGCCATGAAGATGAATGAAAAGGAAAGAGCAAAAGAAGATAAATGAAAAAGGATTAGAAGGAAAGAGAGATTTAGACAATGGAAAAGCTAAATCTAAATAAAAAATTCTGAAAGGAAAGAACAAAAGAAATAAAATGGAACTAGATTTAGACACTGCAAAAACTAAATTTAAACCAAAATCCCAAATTTAAGAGGGACAATGAAAAATGCCTCTTATCTCCACCAATGTGAGTGTATGGAATATGAAAAGGGAATATAGAAAATGTGTATATCAATTAATACAAAACCTCTACCTTATATATATGAGTAAATGATTTGGATTGAAATCAATTTGACAACTACCAAAATCCCACTACAGTAATATTAATATATGGCATCGTAGCCATACACCTTAAACACAAGATTAATTTAATTTTTTATCTTAAAATATCTTAGAATATCTAAATATATTTTAAGTAACCCATACAGGTTTGCTTAACCAAACCAAAACAAAGAATAAAAGGGAAATTAATTTCCATTGCCGGGATTTGAACCCGGGTCGCCTGGGTGAAAGCCAGGTATCCTGACCGGACTAGACGACAATGGATCAATGAATTATTGGCCGTTCAAAAAGGTTGATTACAGTTTATAAACACAGATCCTTTTCCTATCAATAGGGTTTACTGCCGGGAATCATGTGGTCGCTAGAGCCCAGCTTCTTCGATGAGCATGGAGCGCTTGTAAGTGATCTTCCAGCGCTAGATCCAGAGGATGCAGCTGCATGGCTCTCCGCTTCCACCACTTTCTCGACGTTGAGCATCACGGCAACGGTGAAGGGTGTTGCGTTGCAATCAGTGAATGCTGCAAACCGCTATGCGCTGGTGCACAGGTTGGAACAGAAGTATCCCGGCTGGATGCTGCTCAAAGTGGTGCTTGCGGAGGTGCACTATCTTCTGTTTGACAAAGCTGGGGCGCAGCAGCGGCTGCTCGATGTCCAAGATGCCATAGGGCGTGGTAAGGATGAGCAGCTGGACAGGGCCGTGCTGGAGCTTTCCAAGCTTATCCAGGAGGAGGACGATGGAGATGAAGATGACGAAGAGGCGGAGGTGGAAGAAGGCATGCAAGTCACTTCCTATGTGCGACCTCAACCTTTCTCGTCTGTTCCGTGTTCGTGGAGTGCGGAGGAGATTCGGCACAAGTGGCAGACGAGAACTGAAGTTGATATTGCTGAGTTTGGTCGCTACGCAGCCATCACCACAAACGTCCTGGAAGGAGTGTTTTCGCTTGAGGGTCGCAGCTTGTCGCGGCTGGTCAAGCGTGGATTCGACGTTGACTCGATCGAGGGTGTTCCTGCCACCAGTCGCATCAAGAGGAAGGCCAAGATCGTGCAAATCCTGGAGAACACACAGTCCTGCTTCGAATACCTCATAAAGAATTCTTCTGCTTTCAATGACTCGACGATCCAAGATGTACACAAGAGACTTATGGAGGGGAACAATCTCAACCACGAGGTTGACGATGGTCAGTTTTATGCGTGTCTCGTGCCTTGCGGCAGCTACCGCCGAGTTCCATGCTATACAACCAATGGCAACTTGGAAACTCGATTTTGTCCTTGGAGGCAGATCCCTACGGAGATGCAGTGGTTCTTTGAAGAGGCTCGGCAAGCAATGTCCGACGACTCTGCTGATCCATTCTTGGTATCGGCCTGGCTACACATCGCGTTTCTCAGCATTCACCCCTTTGCTGATGGTAATGGTCGGGTGGGCCGAATGATTTCCTCTCTTCCACTTGTCAAGGCAGGGCTCCCCCCTGTTGTGGTATCTTTCGAGCGGGAGCGGAAGAAGAAGTACTTCGCTGCACTGATAGAAGCTCGTAAGTCGGATGATCTAGTACCGCTGGCTTCGTTTCTGAAGGAAGAGGTTGAGCTAGCGATCATTCACATCTCCAATTTGGATGATGCCTGATCTTTGTCTTGAATTCGTAATTTCCTATTAAGCAATTTCTGGTTGTCGAGCTGAATTTCTAATGGAAATTAAAGCTTAGTCTTCTTGCGTTGTGAAAAAAGAGATCTCACTCGTTTTTCTAGAGTTGATTGGCAAGAGTTTCTTTGCAGATTGCAAGAGTCGAGTCTTGTTTCTTCTCAGGGCATCATCCCCGATCCATAGGAAGCGCCTGCTTGCTCCCACAACTCACGTTGCTAGGGTCCCTGCCAGTACAGCGCTCATGCGGGCAGCTGGAGCTGCACCACTTGCTGCAAGGCGGGAGAGGTTCTGACCAAGGTCATCAAGGTTCTGTAAACATTTGGTAGTGACCTGGGATTGATGCCAGCGTTGTGTAGCAGCAGCACATTTGGAAGATTTCACAGTGCATGGCTCTAGAGCTGGAACTCACACTTCGCAATAGTAATGCAAAGGCTCCAATTCAGTTGAATTTATGCATTTAGAACTTTAACACTCACTCAAGAGCTGGTGCAAATTGAACCTGTTTATTTTATGATCGGGAGAGCAGGTTGCATGGTATATGAGAGGAATTATCCCTTTCCATTGAGGTAAGAATTGCCACTTAAATGCTATTTTGTGTTAATTGGAATTTATGTAGATTTATTGTAAGACATCATACTGCAAAATTTTCAAAGTCAAAATTGAAATTGGTGCTAAGACATAGACTAAAGCCTAAAGAAACAATCATCCTTTTGGCTATGTTCTGTTCCTGTTTCGCATTCGAAGCAATGAGCATCGAGCCAACCACACTCATCTCAGCACTAATTGCATTTCCACCAATAAATCTTGTAGGCAAGGCTGCCTTAAAATCCATCAAAAGCTTCATCACAAATGTCTGGGAACTGGAGAGCATTGCAATACAGGCAGCATCAGATGAAGGTCAGCTTATGTACTTGCCATTTGTGGAAGACAGCATGAGCAGATTAAACCCGAGCTCATCCGTCTACAAGACTTTGGAGAGGGGCAAAATCAGTCTTGAGAAGCTCAGGAGCTTCGCCTTTGAAGCTTCAAGCAGTGGTACCATGAACTGGCTTCAGAGGTTTGATGAGATTTTATGGTCTCTTTTTATCTTGATCTCCTTGTACAGAAACAAAGACGCCAACAACATCTTAGAGATCAAATCAGAGGTGGAGAAGTTTGTTCACAGCATGGATGTGATAAATCTCAGCGAGACACTCAAGGCAAACGAGCTGCAAGCTCTCAAGATGAACGAATTATGCGAGTCCCAGATGCAAGGAATGAGCAGATTGTTTGACTTGTGGGAATCGCGATTCGAGCAGCTCATCCAGCTCCAAACTTCTCAGTTCCAGGCTATCCAGCAGCTGATTAGCAGTAATCAGGTAAGTCAACCAATGTTTATGCTTGTTCAGTTTATCTCGTTGAAAACCTACAGCTGAGGCCTCTACCGCAATTGCAATCCTCTGACGATCAAAATCGACATTTGCTGCATGAAAACCACCACCACCACGATCAATCACCAACATCAATCGTTCGCGCAATCAATGGTGGCTTTCAGGTGTGCATGAACTTCAAGGTATACCAACATGTAGTTCCAGTGGCAACGAGCACAAAGCTGCAAACCCAGTTTGCACTCGCGGGCAACGTCCAAAGCTTCCCATACACCGCTGGTTACGCAGCGGTTGTCAAAGACAAGCTCACAGACGCCGAAGATTATCTCTCCAGAGAGGTGGGAAGAGCAATTGGATTTTTCACAGTCCCAGCGAAAGGCCTGGTGTACACCACCTTTACCATGGACTTGATGGATCGAGGGACGCTGGCGGCCTCGGGTGTGGCAATGGCTCCATCGTTTACTTACATTGTGAGTGGTGGCACTGGCGAGTTCCTTGGAACCTTTGGCAAGATGGAAGTTCTCATTGTTAGCAGTGTTGACGATGGAGCCAACTTTATTCTCCTTCACGATGTCACGCTCTATTCTTCCACTAGCATGAATTAGAATATGCTTTGATACTTCTAAAATTTAGGGATTGTGGATGATGCTACTCCTGCTAGGCTTGGCGCTCGTCGAGGCGCTGAGCGCGCCGATTCCTAGGTTTGAGGAGCGCGCAGCTCTCAAGGAGGATGTCCGAAATATGTAAGATCTGTGATCTATCCTTCGTGTATTTACTGATTGGAGAGCTCAATCGATCGCCAGGTTCCATCACGCCTACGACAACTACATGAAATACGCCTTCCCGGTACGCATTTCTCTTTCCTGACGAAGGAAACTCACGAGATTTCGCTTTGTCTGTGGCAGCACGACGAGCTCAAGCCGCTCAGCTTGAGTTATACTGATTCGCTAGAGGAGCTTGGAAATCTTAAGGTAAAGTTCTCGCAGCTTTTCTTCCTTCTACCTTTTTTCTTTTCTTTTTCCTAGCTTGAGCGTCTCTCAGAGACTTACAGTGGATCGGCTTTGACACTCGTGGAATCCTTGTCAAGGTAATAGTGTTCTTGGATGGATTTCCATTTCTTCTTTATCTTTTCTTCTTATATACACAATGAAACATTCTCGTCAGCTTGGCAGTCATGAAGAACAGCAGCGAGTTTGAGAAGGGAGTTTTGTGGCTCGCCGAGAATTTATCCTTCGACGTTGATGTCCGCGTGAACGTTTTCGAGGTACGTTTGATACCGTCGCAGAGCCAGATAACGTAAACTCTTTAACGGTGAAGTCTCGCTTCAGTGTAATATCAGGTTACTAGGGGGATTAATTTCTGCACACTTCCTAGCCAAAGATTCGAGAAAACAATTGATGTCAAATGGATACAATGATCAGTTGCTTATGCTTGCAGAGGACTTGGGACTGCGGTTGCTGCCAGCTTTTGACACGCCCACTGGAATTCCATACGCTTGGATCAATCTGAAGGTTTGCTACATTTTGTCAACGCTCGCGTTTCATTTGGAAAGCTTTTTATAGACCGGAGTGCACCCAAACGAGACGACCGAGACAAGCACTTCCGGGTGTGGTAAGTAGCGAGTTTCGTTCCTTTCTTCGTTCTTTTCGTTGGTTTAAGTAAAAGTTTCATCTCTCAGGCTCGTTGGTTTTGGAGATGGGAGCGTTGTCCCGCCTAACTGGCAATCCACAGTTTGAGAATTTAGCTTTGCGAGCTCTTCGCAAACTGTGGAGTATGCGCAGTGAACTCAACTTACTGGGAACGAACCTTGACATAAATACTGGACGGTGGACTGAGTACTCTTCAGGCATTGGTGCTGGTAATATTTTTTAATGTAATTATTTGGCCACCGTCCGGCTTGTTCTTTCTGCAGGTATCGACTCCTTCTATGAATATCTGGTAAAAGCCTACATTCTTTTCGGAGGCGAAGAATACTGGGATATGTTTCAGGACGCTTACCGAGCTGTCCAACAACACTATAGATATGGTTCCTGGTAAACTATCAGTAAACAGTTCATATGTATTAAAAGAGCTTTATATCAGGTATCATGACGCTGATATGAGAACTGGGAAAGCTACATACTGGCAGTTCACGAGTCTGCAAGCATTTTGGCCTGGACTACAGGTAGGAATTTATCGAGAGTTTTATGAAACGTTATGATCTTTTATTGCAGGTTTTGATAGGTGATATTGCCGCTGCAAACGCTACCCATAGAGAATTTCTCCGCTTGTGGGAGATGTTTGGTATATTTCCTGAAAGGTTTCGTTTTGTAGAGTTTTGATCCTGCTTTGCTTACTATCCTTATTATCTTTTTTTTTGTCTCAGATACTTACTTGATGCCGGAAAAGTCCACCCCACAGAAAGATACTATCCACTTCGTCCAGAGTTGGCCGAGTCCACATTTTTTTTATACCAAGCTACAAAAGGTAGAATAGTAAGTAAAGTTTGGATTTAATTGTATGTTTTGCTTTTCAGATCCTTGGTATTTGGACGTGGGAAAGAAAATCATGAACTCTATCAATGTGTTTAGCCGCGTCCCCGGAGGCTTTGCTAGCGTCAGAGATGTCATGACTATGAAACTAGAAGACCATCAACATAGTTTTTTCTTATCAGAGACGTAAGTACTCACACCTCCTGCGTGCTGATGATCACAAATCCTTTCAACAGGTGCAAATACTTGTATTTGCTATTTGATGACAGCTTCTTGGATGGCGAGAACCATGTTTTCTCCACCGAGGGCCATCTCTTCCCTGTCAACCAGTCGTGGCAGCAACAGCCCCGTCCCAAGGTACCAGAGGATCAATCTCGCGAAACATAAGTAGCGTTTGTGTGTTTTGACAGATATTGTCAAGGCTACGACTATTTTCAAGGCAAAAGCCCATAGACACCAGCGCTCTCGCATCAAAGACATGTCCTCGCTTGAGCAGAGGAAGTGTGGAATCGGCATGCCACATCCCAGACACTCGCGCTGACCACCGATGCGTTTCAAGGTCGGACTGTGGCGTAGACGCGACTACTTGCGCGAAGAGGTCGTGTAGTTTTGCCGGTTATTGCTCGTGACAAGATCACCAAAAAAAAGCATATAGAAATTAATTTTTCTTCCCCAGAAAAAATAAGAATTATTGACAATCCCAGAATTGTCGGTCATATATATATTGACAATCCCAGAAGAAAAAAAAAGAATAAAAGTTAAATGAATTTCCATTGCCGGGATTTGAACCCGGGTCGCCTGGGTGAAAGCCAGGTATCCTGACCGGACTAGACGACAATGGATCAATGAAATATTGGCCGTTCAAAAAGGTTGATTACAGTTTATAAACACGAGAAAGAGACTGCTGCGAATCATGTGGTTGCTAGAGCCCAGCTTCTTCAATGAGCATGGAGCGCTTGTAAGTGATCTGGCTTTTGCATTTGGCAATCATTGATAACTATTAACTATCATCTAAGATAATTGATTATTCTTGTCAAAAGCCAGTGCTAGATCCAGAGGATGCAGCTACATGGCTCTCCGCTTCCACCACTTTCTCGACGTTGAGCATCACGGCATTGGTGAGGGGCGTTGTTTTGCAATCTATGAATGCTAAACAGCGTTATAGGCAATTGCACAGGGTGGAAAAGGAAAACAAGTACCCTAGCTGGATGCTACTCAAAGTGGTGCTGGCGGAAGTGCATTATCTTTTGTTCGACAAAGCTGGGGCGCAGCAGCGGCTGCTGGATGTCCAAGATGCCATAGGGCGTGGTAAGGATGAGCAGCTGGACAGGGCCGTGCTGGAGCTTTCCAAGCTTATCCAGGAGGAGGACGATGGAGATGAAGATGACGAAGAGGCGGAGGTGGAAGAAGGCATGCAAGTCACTTCCTATGTGCGACCTCAACCTTTCTCGTCTGTTCCGTGTTCGTGGAGTGCGGAGGAGATTCGGCACAAGTGGCAGACGAGAACTGAAGTTGATATTGCTGAGTTTGGTCGCTACGCAGCCATCACCACAAACGTCCTGGAAGGAGTGTTTTCGCTTGAGGGTCGCAGCTTGTCGCGGCTGGTCAAGCGTGGATTCGACGTTGACTCGATCGAGGGTATTCCTGTCACCAGTTGCATCAAGACGAAGGCCAAGAGGAAGGCCAAGAGGGAGGCCAAGATCGTGCAAATCCTGGAGAACACACAGTCCTGCTTCGAATACCTCATGAAGAATTCTGCTGCTTTCAATGACTCGACGATCCAAGATGTACACAAGAGACTTATGGAGGAAACCAATCTCAACCACGAGGTTGACAATGGTCGGTTTTATGCTTGTCTCGTGCCTTGCGGCAGCTACCGCCGGGTTCCATGCTATACAACCAATGGCAACTTGGAAACTCGATTTTGTCCTTGGAGGCAGATCCCTACGGAGATGCAGTGGTTCTTTGAAGAGGCTCGGCAAGCAATGTCCGACGACTCTGCTGATCCATTCTTGGTATCGGCCTGGCTACACATCGCATTTCTCAGCATTCACCCCTTTGCTGATGGTAATGGTCGGGTGGGCCGAATGATTTCCTCTCTTCCACTTGTCAAGGCAGGGCTCCCCCCTGTTGTGGTATCTTTCGAGCGGGAGCGGAAGAAGAAGTACTTCGCTGCACTGATAGAAGCTCGTAAGTCGGGTGATCTAGTACCGCTGGCTTCGTTTCTGAAGGAAGAGGTTGAGCTAGCGATCATTCACATCTCCAATTTGGATGATGCCTGATCTTTGTCTTGAATTCATAATTTCCTATTAAGCAATTTCTGGTTGTCGAGCTGAATTTCTAATGGAAAACTCTTCTTGCGTTGTGAAAAAAGATATCTCTCTCGTTTTTCTAGTTGGTTGGCATCAGTAAAAGAGTTTCTTTGCAGATTGCAAGAGTCGAGTCTTGTTTCTTTTCAGGCATCATCCCTGATCCATAGGAAGCGCCTGCTTGCTCCCACAACCCACGTTGCCACTGCCAATACAGTGCTCATGTGGGCAGCTGGAGCTGCACAGATCCGGAGCTTGTTGCAAGGTGGGAGAGATTTTGTCCTAAGGTCATCAAGGTAGCATGTAATAACCCAAATAATAATTAAGGTGTGGAAGCATTAGTAATGAGTTGTAGAATTTTGACAATTATGAAGCAACTAAGCAAAAAATGTAAAATAATTAATTGAATTGGTAAAAATTAATTATTTATAAACATTTGGTAGTGATTTTGGATTGATGCAAAGTTGCATCGTGTAACAACAACACACTTGTGAGATTTCACAATGCATAGGTCTAGAGTTGGGATCTCACACTTTGCAATAGCAATGCAAAGGTTTCAATTCAAGTATTTTTAAACTAACTTAATGCATTTAGAACTTTAACACTCACTCAAGAGCTGGTGCAAATTGACCCTGTCAGGTTGCATGGCATATGAGAGGAATTATCCCTTTCCATTGAGGTAAGAATTGCCACTTAAATGCTAAAAACAAATGGTAAGAAAGGAATTATCCTTGGTGGCAACAAAGTTTGCCATGCTGGAGGTTGCACACTTGGAATGCTAAACACATATGATAACTCTGTCCATCCATTGGTAGATTTTAAAATTCTTTTAATTTGGACTTTATGTATGGCTTAGTATATAAGAGGTGCCTATTCCACGTCTTTTAGTTACAAGTGTACTTAAACACTAAAACTTAATTATCCTCACTCACACTTTTAAATTAATTAATTGAGTAGAGCTATAGATGGAAATGATTATATTACTAATTATTTCTTTTCCTTTATGCATTTTAGCACCACCACCATTTGGATATATATTTCCTGATCAGCCTATGACGCTTTACTCCAGTGATCCTGATGCACTATCTCGAGATAATTTTAAAGGTATATTGAAGAATATAGATGAATATATTGACTCCCTGAAAGGAGAAAAAACTCTTCCAACAAAGAGTTACTCAAGAACGTTTTATATTACTGATAATGTATATTGTATTTTAACATTATGGATTCATTTGCCACTGGGTTTTAATGCAAAAGAACCTACTTATACATTATGCAAGATAGTCCCACTACAATATGGATATAATGGATATGAAGCTTATAATATTTTTCGCAGGCTTCGGGATTATATTTCCACGAATGCAATCACTATAGGTAAAGACCAAAATAAAAGGTATTTTGGAGAATTTGAAGCTAATTTTAGAAATTTTGCTATGCAATATAATATTTATGGTTCACATCCTCCAACATTTTATAATAATTTTATTATTGAAAACAATACTTATCATAAACTTAATAATTATGATGGTTATTGTGATATTTATAGATCATCTCTTATTGGTGGTGATATTACCAAACATGGATCTACCATATTAAATGGAAATAGCTTAGTCTCACCATACACAAATTATAGATTGACAATGAAAAATTGTCAATTATTCTTTTATCAAATTAAAAGTAAAAAAATTATCTGGAAAAGTGAAGAGTTTAATTTATTGACTTCAAACAAAGAAATTAATTCAGAAATCTTAAATGATTGTTTTGCACATCTAGACAGAACTGGCCATTTCACTATAGTAAATAATAACTTTGTAATATGGGAATTAATATCACAACATTCTAAATATCAAGCAGGATTAGAAGTATCAGATAATGGCTATCTTTATATTTATGATACAGAGAAAGGTAAAATTTTATGGTCAGCTCATTAATTATATTCTTAAAATCTCTAACAAATTGAAGTTAAGAGTTTACTTCTGTAATTGGTATAACTAATATTCCTAAAATATCCATTACTCATTAACACATAATTAAGAAATAGAAATAGAAATATAATGTTTCAGAGGTTTCCAGTGCTCAATTTCTCGTGAAAACTCTCGAAGGAAATGGCTTGACAAAAGAAATCCTCGTCAAAAGTTCACCCATGGAAATAATATTGACAAGCAAGAGAAAATGTTGCTCTCTTTTTACTGCCACTAGCATTGCTCAATTCGTCAGGTCCTTCTCATGGACCCTATTCGTAAATGTTTCTGATAGAATCTGCTAGATTCCCCGCGTATATAATATTTCTTTGTCGTGAAAATGGAAGGAGTAAACGCGCAATCCAAAAGTCTTTCCTTGCCACGATTTTCTATCTTTCCTGCGTTTGATTTTTTTGCTCTCGAGTCTTCACGGCTACGCGTCACAGAAATTGGACCAGCGACTGGTCAGTGACCACTGTTTACGCCCTTGATTTTCCTCGAAGGCGATTGTGGCGAAATATATTATCGCTATGCCGCAGTGTTCCTTTTCTAGGGCTAGATCAGCGAGCTGGATTCTCGCAGGAAAGATCGCGCGGCCGGCCAGGAATCGGGCCCGATGGAGGTGAGAATTCGAGGCGCCGGCCAGGTTTTCACAAGATCGCCATCGGATTGCTACCTAGGGAAGAAGATCTCCAAGAATTCGCAAGGATTTTGCTAGATCGGTGTCGAATTCCTGGTGGATAGGTGAAACATCGCGCGGCAAGCTGAGGTAGAGCCGATAATCCATCGAATTCCAGCCGGATCTGGGAGCTATGGCGCACGATAACGACTATGAAAGATCTTCGCCGGCCGCCGTCAACACCAGGATCATGGTCGCGGCAGTGGTGGTGCTGTTCGTGGTCGTGCTCTTCATCCTCTTCTTGCACATCTACGCGCGCTGGTTCTGGCGTAGCGCCAGGCTCAGGGCTGCCGCGAGGGGCGGATCAGGCGGCCGGGCTTGGTCGCGGCGATTTGGCAGGCGGAGGAGAATGCGATTCACGGTCGAGCCGGGGATTGCCGCCAACGGCGTGGTGGTGCCGAGCAAGGGATTGGACAAGGAGGTGCTGGAATCGCTCCCAATCTTCTTCTACACGAAGAAAGATGGAGAGGTGGTCAAAGAAGGCGAGCGCGAAGAGGAGGAGGAGGAGGAGATTTTGGAGTGTGCCGTGTGCTTGTCCGAGTTTGAGGAGAACGAAGCTGGGCGGAGGCTACCAAAATGCGGCCATGTCTTCCACACCGAGTGCATCGATATGTGGTTCTCTTCCCACTCGACGTGCCCGCTGTGTAGAACCAGCGTGGGATTGGAGGCTTCCAGCGATTTTGATCGAGATCTCGAGCGAGGCGAGGCCGCGGAAGCTATAGCGGTGGAGGGTGGAAGCAGCAACAGGTCTCAAGGCGAGCAGCTGCTACGAGAGGCTGTGGTGTCGGGTCTGATCACTGGCACGAATGCTTCTCCAGCGGTTTCCAGCACAGGTGGTACTACTGCTATAGCAATTCAGATCCTCCAGGACGAGGGAGCGATTCTACTCCAGGAGCAAAGCGGTCCCTCGTCGAGCTCATCGGGATTGAAAGGTCAGTCACCCCAGCAGCAGCACTTTCCAGCCAGCGTTTTGTTCTGGGGGAATCGCTCGTATACAAACTCCAACAGTGCTATAGTCGGTTCTTCGTCGGTGGCGGCATCTCAACAACAACAGGAACAGCACGAGACGGCGACGACGACTGTCGCTACTGCCGCGTCTTACACGCCATCGCCCAAGAAGCAGCGACGCGAGCTCATCATCGATGTCCCTCGTCGATCCGCCGCCAACTTCTCGTCGGCGTGCTCCTCGCAGTTGCCTTCGCCCAATTCGGCAGAAGGTGGGGGGCAAAGATCCCCGCTGGGAGCGCACCTCCGGAGCATCAAGAGACTTCTGAGCAGGGACTCGAGGCGCGACACTTCCCCATCTCCAGTCGGACGAGATTGCTGTGAATCATCGCAGTATCACTCGGCTTGTCACACGCCGGGATCCATCACCCCGACATCACAGTGCTGATTTTTAAAACTCTGGTGAGTTTTTGGTTTTTCTGTTTCAAGCAGATAGTCTTAGGTGACGCGTTCCTCTTTCTTCTCTCTGTTATGAACAGTTAGCATACGGAAGTTTGCATCGATACGTTAACTGTAAACAAAGCAGTGTCCTCGTAACCAGCGGTTCGTTGAACTACTTCATAAAAATTGAGCGAAGAAGTTTTGGCTTTGCATTACAGGAACCAAGAATATGAGCGACAGAAAAAAAAAAAAAAAAAAAAAAAACAGAGAAATCCAGTGCGACTAGAGACTAAATCTCCCGCTGAGGCTCTCGATCCACGAGGAAGACTGGAAGATGATGCTGTGCATCCGCGCCTCGTCCTCGCGGATCCGCCGCCGCTTGCTCCGCAGCTCCTCCTTCCGCCGCTGGAGCTCCTTGTTCACCTCCTGCAAGCTCACCTCGATGTACTGGAGAGACTTCTCCTCCTCCTCGAGGCTCACTTGGCCGGCGCCGCCAACGATGGCACTGGGACAAGTCGGGGAGGCGCTCCGGAGCTGCTGGACCCGCTCGATGAGCGACGAGGAGGCGGTGGTGGCGGTGGCGGAGTTTGGAGGAGCGGCGTTCCCAGCAACGGCGCCATTGATGGAGCAGCCGAGCTGGAAGTCGGAGAGTGGGAGGTTGCAAGCGCCGACGCTGGCATACGGTTTGAAGGGGCGGGTGGTGGCGGCGGTGGTGGTAGCGGCGGCGGTAGCGGTGGCGGCGGCGGTGGGCGATACCGGGGCGCTGCTGCAGCTGTTGATGACGAGCGGCGGCGAGTTTTGCTCGTCCGAGGTGAGCGTCCCGGAGTTGGGCGGCGAGGAGGTGGGCGAGAGCGTGGACGAGTGGGAGTGGCCGGCGGGCGAGCGTGGCGGCGGCGGCGGTGGCGGCGCCACCGCGTTGACGATGGGGATGGTGAGCAGCGGCGTCGACTGCGTGCGCTTGCGCGAGATGCTGCGGATGGGCTTGGAGTAGCAGGGCGCGCAGAGCGGCGGCGAGGCGGAGGAGGAGGAGGGCGAGTCGGGGCCGAAGTGTGGCGTGAAGCAGATGCAAAAGAGGCGATTGTCGCACTTGGAGCTGAGCAGCGAGATGGCGAGCTTGAACGAGGCGCGGCCGGACACCATCCGCGTGGGGCGCTCCTGGGCGGGGAACTCCACGCCGTTGAAGGTGGTGAAGAGCGGCGGCTCCGCAAGGAAGGGCTTGTCGTCGCGCACCACGGGGGAGTGGTCGTGGGCGTAGGCCACCGACGCGACGATGGTCACGTCCTTGGTCACGTTGGCGGCCAGGTTGCCCGACTCGTCCAGGAGGTGGACGTTGAGCACGAACTTCCGGCGGCACGACGCCTTGCCCCCGAGCACGGTGAGGACGTCGGAGCTCTTGCCGATGCCCATGGCCTCGGACGCCACCGACGCGACCAGGCGGTAGGGCAGTGGAGAAGCTGCCGCCGCCACCATTTCTCTCTCTTTCTCTCCTCTCTCCTCTCCTGTGGCTCTCTGCTCTTTTTTCTCTCTCTTCTTCTCTCACTGTGAAACTTTAACCCTTCTACCGTTTGCTCACAACCCACACGGTTTGCCGCAACCGCCAGTCTCCAGGCTAAACCGTAACTGTTCATGAACAGTTAGGGCTTCTATACAACATTATCTATAATGGTTAAAAGGAAGTCTAGGACATGCTTAAAGGAATACACATACTCTATCTAATTGCTAAGTTGGAGTCTTGAATGCTGAAAGAGGTCGGGCCTTGAAATGAAAGGTGGTCGCTTGGAAGGAGGGGCAGCAGCCACTTCTGCAGGCGGCAGAGAGTTCCCGAAGCAAAAGAGCAGCGTCTCCAGCGTTGAACTCGAAAGTTCTAGTGTTGAATCATCCAAGTTGGAGATGTGAATGATCGCTAGCTCAACTTCTTCCTTCAGAAGCGAAGCCAGCAGCTTCTATCAGTGTAGCGAAGTACTTCTTCCGATCCCGCTCCAAAGATACCACGACAGGGCCTGCCTTGACAAGTGGAATAGAGGAAATCATTCGGCCCACCCGGGAGTGGCTGTTCAGCCTATGCAACCTGTGCAACCTGTCAAGGAGAGCGTGGAGAGGAAAGTTGTGGCGACCAAGAAACGGAGGGTCGTTGTCACGGGAATGGGGGTTGTGTCCTGCCTTGGACATGAGCCGGATGCTTTCTACGGGAATTTGCACCACGGCACGAGTGGAATAACAGAGATTGAGACATAGTGTCCAGAATGACATACCGATAGGAATGATGGCTGCATCAGATCCACCAGCGAGCATCACGCTGTGCAGTAATGTTTTCTATGATTGTGTGAAAAATATTCTAACTAGATCAACTCTCTCGCAATAGTTGCAGGGCGTCCCCATCCATCCCTGGTCAGAACATGAAATCCGTTAACTTTGTGTTTCACAGAATCATTCTTAGCCGTGTTCATCCTCCTTGGTACTGGCCTCGTCGGCAACACCAGTGCTTGTGTTGCACACTCTTCAAAGCCCTTCTCTTATTTCCCCTCAATGTTACAATTCTCCATGCATGGTTTCTTGGAGCGTGATGGTTCAAGCTCATGCCAAGAACAAGCAAGGGGGCAAATCGTTGGATCTGTATCAATGTCATCTAGAACTGCAAGAGCAAACTACTTGAATTGCTGTAGAGGCTTGTCACTACGTGGGAAGCGATCACTCCCATGAAGGAATTGCGTGCTCGAGCACTGGAAGGAATCTCTTGGTGGATCCGACCATGACTATGAATAAGCTCTACGAGCCGGGCCTTCAGCCTGGCCGCGCTCACGTCCGGGTCGTTGTTCGTCTACAGAAGCCAAGCGATCTTCTAAGTTCCAAGATATACAGCGCTCTTCAATCCCTGAGATGTGTGATCATTACTGGAGTTCTTTCGTTGATCCTCCGACTTATACTTGGCTAAAACTAAGGAAAACGAGCACATTCTAACAGCCAACACGCTGCTTTATCATTTGACTCCTCCTCCGACTGACAACGGCTTCATGGCATTAGTCTGCTTGTTTCTCGAAAGCCACAGCAGAGCAACACTAAGCATGAGTGATGCCGATCTCAAGGTCCTTAGAGAAGAGTGCAAGTGCTAGCTTGTTAGGCAAACTCACACACTGCAAACTGGGACGGAGGAATGAAGCCACTGCTGACAAAGATACGAGAAGAATAGCTTTGCTGCGGCTAAGGAATGTCATACAGTGTCAAAGTATTTTTTGGATGACCAATTCCACCACTACGAATACGAAAGCTTTTTTATGATGAGAACTTTGGAAGGTGCATTTATTCTTCTAGTAATTGTATTAATTAGTTTAAATACTAATTAATAAGTTTATATTGTGAGTGCTTGGAAATTTATGATAAATGTTTTAATGATATATTAATACAACCATGTTTTTATAAAATGGATATCTCATTATATACATTTTAATTAGAAACAATAACATTTTAAAAACATGAAATTAATAAAATTAATAATGTTTTTTTTATATCTTAGAGTTAATTATATAATGGATTATGGAGAGAAAACATAATGAATTGTGATAGTGCTGATTTAATTATATGCAATGGAATTAGTGATAAGTAATATATCTTCAGAAGAATTATTCAATTTCTATTTATAATGGTTCATTAAATGTTATTAATCAATGTGGGTATATAATACATCTGGAAAACACTACAATTAATGTAGTGCAAATGATAATACTCTTAAATATTATCATAAAGATAATGTTATAATTCATTTAAGTAATTTATTAAAAATATATCATGTGACAATATGAAGTATATGAGTAACATTTATTACAATAGTAACTGATTCCTATGCAATTGAGTATATTATTAAAACTTTCATCAACCAAAAGTGCTTAGAGAAATTCAAAATTAATAACTTAAAGGATTTTAGAATATATTACAACATTAATTAGTACTTTACCATCTTATTATTTAAGAGCTTCACAATTTTAATTGTCTCCAAATAAAAAATCTCTTTATATTTACATCTGATTTTATCTTTAAATGTCAGGCATAATTAAAATGGTCTAGAGGATGTGATAAATATAAAAATTGTGAATTTAATATTCAAATAAATAGAAATATAGTTTTATATCTTAATAGTGATAAAGTTGTTTGGTCTCTAAATATTTTTTATGGTACATTCGTTTATTTTTTATCGTTATAAAATGATTATAACTTTATATGAATTATATGAATTTAATCAAAGAAACTTTTCTCAACATCTTTTTATTACGGTATGATTGTCATCAGATACATATCCTTGTTAGCATTTAAATTTGAAATAAAACTTATATTTTGCAAATAAATATAATACAACAAAATACACTTAGTTAAATCTATCCTTTTATAACAAAGAGAATATTGACTTATTTTATTTTCATTATAAATAGAAAAAAATTAACCTTCTGCCTAAATGACACAAAATATTCTCAAACATATTAATAATTATAATTTTTCTATAAGTATTGTATTATCTTTCTAATCTGCAAGTAGAAAATATTTAGACAGGAAATCACAACTATTATATTATGATCTCTTAAAAAAAACACAAATTCTAGACAATACTACAAGATTGATAGATAGATAGCTGTTGCAAAGAGTAAAATTAATCTCAGTATTTCTATATTTTATATTATTTTAAAGCTACGAACAATTATTACTAATCACGAAGTAGCTATAATATCTAGAATATGCCGTGCGTGCGTGCGTGCTTCTGTATGTCCCACTCAGTGTTTCTGATGCTTCCTCCCAATCAGTGCCGACTTTAAGTTTCTTTTTTCTTCTAATTCGCAAGTCAACCTTGAAAAGGATGCACAGACTTGTTGACAAGTGGGCTGATATAATGCTTAGTCCACCCAATGTGACGTGTATTATGAAACTTTGGTTTGTCTATACATATTATAGACATCAATCAAACCAAAGCAAACAAGCAGTATCAATTATTCTATTGGAGTGACTTCTTGGTTATTGGATGTCAATGGTGTGGTGGCAGGATTCCTCGTCTTTGGAATGGGCTCTAAACTTGGCGGCGATTCCCAGCTGCTCCACCGTGTCCACAACATGTTTGAGCCTGGCCGTGGTTTCCAGGAGGAGGAACACAAAGGTGGCAAGCGAGAAGTTATTGGCGCTTTCCATGTTGTAGTCGAATGTGCAAGTGAGAGGCCCACTGTGGGCAATGATCCTGTCTCTCTTGTCAAACTCGAATATAGGATCCTCCGTGGGGGATGATGGTGTTAGGGGTCCACTCCAGGGAATAAAATTGTCAGTGTCGATGGCTATGGGCAGCCTGTGAGCCTTGCTTTTGATGATGGTGTCGCTCAATCTGATGTTCACGAATAGGGTTGAGTGGCGCTGGATGGATCTCTGGAGCTCGAATGCGGCCTGATTAACGTCGCTAAGCAGCTGGCTTGCGGGCTTGTTTTGCTGCATCCTCTTGAGATTGTTGCCTACTTCGGTGATTACTTTGTTGATTTCTTTGCTGACGGCGTAAATCTTCTTCTCGAAGCACCGCCTCAGCTCTATTGGTGCCTGATCATCAAAAGTTCAGACACTTTGTTAGTGGTTTTCCTTTCAAAAAGTGTGCTACACGTACTTTTGACTTTGATGTGAGGCAGCCATGCAATGCCATTGCTGTGTAGGAACAATGTCTAAGAGCTGTCCCAACTTTTATGTAGTGTCCCCACGGGTATTTTATGTTGAAGTCGCCGTGTGGAGGTTCCCAAGTTGCAAAGTTTGCCTGAAAGTATTCTATTTGTCAGCTTGGCTCATCAAAATCCTTCGATAGCAAATCTTACAAGGGAGTCCTCGTGGCTCTTCGACGTGAAAAGAGAATTATACTTTTTGTATGTGGCATCGCTTACGTCAGTCACAAGCTTTTCTTCAGCTTTCGGATCAAAATACATTTCCACTGTTTCTGAGGAAACGTAATAGGATTAGATCTTATAACATGATTGAATAATTGTTAAGTTAGACTTGCCTTCTAGCGATTCAGCCAGTTTGGAGAAGTTTTTGGAGGTCAGTTCATGAAGCTCATCACCAGCCCAGATTGGATAAATAAATGTGGTTGTAAAAAGGGAGACAGAACAACCAACAGTTATCATGTACAATCGAGACGATGCAATCTCAACCGGATGCAGGCTGGAGTTTGTAGAGATCATGAGCAAGCTGAAAGTAAGAAGGAAAACAAGAAGTCCATAGTCATATCGGGCCTTCATTTTGGGGACAAACCGCAGAAACGTTGCCACCACTCCTATATACACAGCAAAACTTCCATGAGAAAAGTGCTGTTCATTTTAAAATCTTCTCCAAACTTACCAACAAAAAATATGGCAATGCAAGCAACTGCTTTGTGGCCTGCTGCGCCTCCAATTTCAGCTAATTGGCTGATACCAAGTACCAAAACTCCGGCAAAGAAAGTTCCAGTCACTCGATTGAGTCCTTTGCAGTAAGTTGCCCCTGGAAGAGAAAAACCATCAGTAATAACCCACTTCTCTAAAAGAAATTTTGTACCAGTTGTAAACTCAAAGATCACCACCACAGACATGATGGCCCAGATTCCATTGTGTCCCACAAAGTCCTCGGTGTGGATGAAAAGAGTGTATAGAGCAGTAATAATTAGCGCGAGCGCCACCTTGAATGCATGGATGATCTTCCTTCTATCGTTGGCGGCAATTGCACGGAGCTGCCCAAACGTAGAGCACAGGGCACCGTATGCGTACGACACCACGTACGGAATCGCGCGCATCCAGCTGAGAATGACCCCAAACTTTTGGCTAGTGCTCCTAGCAAAGTGGTTCGTCACTGGGTCATTGTCCGTGCGTGCAAGCGTGACATCCTCGGGAAACACTCTTGAAGATCGTTCCGCT